CATTTTTTATTACAAAATAATAATGAGCCTTTTTTTTAAAAAAACAATGTATATGAAAGGAAGACGAATAATTTGCTGTTCACTCCAACAAACTCGAAGTCGCAAAATACTGTGAATCATTACATGCGATAATGCACTTTACTTTCTGATTATATATTTATATATATAGACACTGTAAATATGTGTTAGACCACTATCCATATCATAACTCAATATTTAAAGACATCGCTATGACAGGAATGTCGTTGATAAGTTGTATCTGATTATATGAATTAATCATTGCATAGTTAATCCATTACCATATAATATATGTACATCTAGAGTAAATGTCATCTAAATGAACTGTTTCCTAGGAATAGGACACCACAAACGTTTTAGTACTGTACAATCCTGCTTCATTTATCGCAGTTATTGCTACATAGTGTTCCAGTGCGTGATTAACACCAGTCATGCGCAGATGTGTATCTGTTGTTTCTGTCCATTTCAGTACGTCCATCCCACCCCATGCTGTGCCGATTGTGACCTCGTAAATCATAGACGAATTGCTACTGAATACATCCGTCCAGTCAAATGTCATTTCCCATTCATGAGGCCAGACACTTTGAAGGTCAGCATCTGAAGAAAATAACAAACATAGATTACCTTCTGTAATTATAGACGTCATACAAATGCTGAACAAATAATTTTAAAATGTGTCACTGACCTGTAGTGTATAATACAATGAATCACTGAAATATATTGTATATTACAATACAATATCCCATGAACCTTTACTGTGCAATGCAAAACAATATATCTCTGACCTGTCTTGTATAATACATTATGTGACAGGACTGTAATATATAGTACGATACAATAGTTTACTCACCTGTATTTTACAATGCAGTACAATATGCCCTGTTTGTGTAAACCTTTTTACTAGACAGTTTGCCCTGTCAATTTGCCGAACTTTGTGCAGTGAATGAATATTTTAGGCATCTTGAAAACTATTCGTTAGATTCCAGTATGACACTGACAATGTACTCTAATGAAAATTAATGCGCATTAGAAATAACAAACTTAGACATACTTCTTGTAATTGGTGCCTCTGTTTCAACGGTTATGTTGGATACTAACACGTCACTTTCAAAACCAGCATAATTGACAGCTTTCAGATAAACTTGGTACGTTTTATAGGAACTTAACATTAAACCTTTCATTACTGTGAATAGATGGCCATTATCACCAACTTTGTACCAACTTGTGTCAACGTCATCGCCCAAAATCTTGCACTGTTAATTAGAGTGAAATGTGATTAGTTTTATTATTGATATACACAATATAAGAGACAATATGTAAATTAACAAATATAAATTTTATTGTACAATTTTCAATCAGCAACCGATATAGATAAGCATTAATCGATATTTGATAAATAACATAACACGTATCATGAAATTATAACAAACTAACGAAGCTATAATTATGTAACGATTTATATTTTATGCTATGTAGTAATGAAGCCATACCACATACTGGACCAGTAGGCACACGCTCAATAGGTTGTTATATCCACAATTCTGAACAACTCCAGTTGTATTTGACAGTTCAATAGCATTCGAATATTTCGTTCACATATAGTGTATTGGGCCCGTAGTTAATATACAATACATGTATATTAATATTCATCCACCCTTTGGTAGGAAGTGCGTTTTCTCTTCCGGAAATTTCGTCGTATGTAATGGTCACGATTTGATTGTCATCGTCAACGCACCCGTATACAAACGCCGTTTCTAATCTTCTTTTTGCTGTCTAATATAAGATTGACCAAAGTGTGAAGAATATTACTATCGATAACTGACAACATCTCCTTACCTCATAGTATTCTATGCCGGTGATATCATTGAATCCTTGCCATGCAATATTAATAGCATCAGTCTGTGCTTGATGGTAACCTCGTGTGGGATACTGAGTGACGGAACTCGTTGTCAAGGACATGATAGCGTGATCTGTATTTGGTGGTTCTGTCACTATGGTAACCCCATTTGAAGTAATCTGGCTTTGAAGCCCATCATAATTCTGACATCGCACTGTGCTAAACAACGTTTGTCCATGTGTAACAGACAATTCAGATTCGGATGAAATAAGCGTGTCTGTTCTTTCGAATGCCTGTATTTCAGCGGATCCCGGAGTCAGCCCTGAAATAATGAAACACAAATGTCACGAATTGTAAGATGATATGCGGATGTAACACATATTATATGAATACAGCATTGGTTAATCGGTTGCTTCTAACAGTGATTTATTGAAAAAATTGTATATATTCACACAAAATTCCAGAGTTAATCAAGAACGTCGCTTACCTATCGCCCACTCACAGTAATCGACGCCACTTTCATCATCTGTGACTAGCCAATTTAGTTTAATAGTGTTTGCACTCTGGTATATTAAATCATCACCATCACCGTCCTATTTCGTGATGAATAAAAAGTAAGATATAAATTCCTGCTTCTGAATAAACCTGGGCGAAATTGGTGTATTGAAAGTAGATATCAAATATAATACCTTGATGCAACACAACTGTGGAGGAGTCAGGTCAACAAGAATCGCGTCGGAATAAATGACTGACCGAAGACCAGCAGCATTCAAGATGACCACCGTTACATGGATGGAGGATCCCGAATTCAAAATAAGATCTTGCTTATCACCGTGTGTATTACGCCCTACTGATGTAAATCCTTGTAACTGTGTTCCACCTGAAAGGGAGATAATGGTTCAATGAAATATACTCGTCAAAATCGCCAAACTGAAACATTACATTTCTTTACTAAATTGATTGGTTTTCATTGTCAATAAAAGACATGTTTGTATGAGGTCATACAATCGGACCCGTAATTGTTACCTTGAACAGTGCCAATAGCCCACATAAAATCAACTATTGGGCTTTCCACATCGACAGCATGCCACCTTGCATGGACAGAGTTCCACTCATGCTGTACAAGTGTCTCCACATGTACTGGACTTGACAACTGATTCATTAGATTTGGAATTGCCGGAGGATCCCGCGGTCCCAGCCCAATGTATCGTACTTGAACATTATCAATGGCGATACCTAGAAAAGAGTGACATGTATGAAAACATAGTTACAAGGCATATTATACACATAGTGCATGTCCATATGTCAGATACATTTTCTTTCTGTTTACTTTAGTCATTTTTAATAATGTATGAAAAATGTAAACTGTTAAAATGTAACGAAGTATGTAGCCTGTTAGACATGGTTAATAATTGATGATTGACAAAATCTCTAACACAAAGTCTATATTTAGTATTTCCAAATAACGCATATTCTCACCATTGTTTAATCCCACTGATCCAATTGTAATTGTAGAACTTGTTTCCATAGCAATAAAATAGAATACATGACGTTGCCATATCATGTTATCAATGTCTTGGTGACTATCTTGTCTGCCCGGTCGTTGATAGAGAGGAAACACGTGATGACTTTCAGGAAGTTGAATGAAGCCTTCTTGTGATAATAAAGGCGTTGATGACGAATATATATGACTTGTGTAGAAGATTACTTGATACTTGCTTCCGATAACCGATTGAAAACTCTGGTGCACCTCGCCGTATAGTAGTAAGAATGAGTCACCGTTTTGTGCATACTGGCTTTGCGACTTTATTTCACTGTTTCCATCGATTATCCATCCATGAATGTCCTCAAATGAAGGGTTGCGGAGAACATTTGCACCAAACGAGAATCGTTCTTCCACATTGGGCGCTGTGTCGTCTATGACAACCCCGTTGGAGACTGCTGCCACAGAATGTAGACCTGCAACATCAATTGCTGTCACCTGGGAAAAGCATTTTTGTCCTGAAATCGAAATTAATTGAAAATGTTTTATATATGTGTATATCGATATACGAGTTGAGTTGAGAATTAATTGCCGCCAGTAACTTCTTGGATTACAGCTCATTCTCAGTTTACAGTTGTAACAGTCGAAGTCACCATCTTGAATCACAGAAGACCCATATCTCGCGCATGCGTAGTGCGACGACCAGCCCCTTCAATTACAATGTGAGCTTATATGAGACATATGTTTCCTATATTTAATTAATAGCACTACTAAGAGTAACTGTGTGTATATACTCCATATCTTTTACCGTATAGCTTTAATTAAACAATTGTTTAGTTATGCAAGTATTTCACAGAAATAATTGATGTAGGTCAGAAAATTGGTAGTTCATAACATTTTCAACACATATGTATAAAAATAACATTTAACTGAATACTAACCATTGGATAAGACAGCTGATTTTGAGGCTGATAATTGTAATCCAACATTCTCGCACGCTACAATATCCTCAGCACCGGGAGAGCTACCAACACACCAAAGGTAATGGCTGATATAGGATTGTAAATCTGAGAAGCCATGCCATGAGGCAGAGATCGTGTCAGTGATATTTTGGTATTCAGCATCGTGTAAACCAAAGCCGTCATAAACAACGCCTGTTGTTGGGACAGTGTTGTCAACCTGTATGTGAAACAAGGCAAACGTATGAGAGAATGTAGGATATTGTCATTTGTACAAATACTACACATCCGTTGATATTACCTTTTATCTGAATAAAGTGCCCATCACACACATTACTACAAATAATATTTGTATTGTGAAAAACTAGAGCAGGCTACTTACAATAAACCCATCCGATGATGCCGTTATATAGAGCCCTGCATTGTTAATTGCTCGCACATTAGAGTAATACTTCACTCCTTCCAATAAGGATAAACTAGTGAGCTGCACTTCAAATACGGAATTTGTAACAGTGTTTGAATTGAAGGATGATACATCTTCGCCTGTGATGAGAATATATAATGTTTATATGTGTTGAGGAACAAACATATAAACGTAAATAGATATATCAGATATTAGATTTCGTTTGGGACATGTATAAATACACAAAACATTCAAATATCTCTCATATACAATACACCGTATAACAGAAAATAATGTTGTTATTCGTTGTATAAATAACACTAACCTCCAATGTATGTACTTAGGGACACACTGAAATGTGCAATACCCCCTACGTCTATAAAGACATTCCTCCATGACACCCCTACGGAGTTTGTGGACGTTGTAAAATCTATATCCAATATATTATTCAGATCCACTACATCTTTCACCTACGCGGATAAATCATTAAATCCGTGTCAAATTATGCTGCTTAAATCGAATATGCAAGGTTTCTTTATTAGTACTCGTTTGAATGCGAATAATAACAAAAATGTGCATGGATAGTAGCTAAATCTACTATTAGGATAAGTATGACATGATTTCCTTGCCATGTTGAATTGCTTGTGCAAAAATACCCCTGGTAAATATTATTTGTACAAGAATACAATATATTAAATCCGGGAACGAATTTATAGCATACCTTTCTTGAAGTTGATACTGCAGGTGGCGTCGAGTCCGATTCCATCCCGTCAGACTGGAAAATGGCATAAGTATCACTATTGTACCACGCCTTCACGTAGAATACATAAATAACGTTTGGTTCAAGAGCAACTAAGTCAGGAAGAGAAGAAGTGCGCGATTAACGTTAGTCTTGCGAAGATAAATAATTTATCGTGATATCATGTTATTGATATTAACAATATGAGACTTACACTTGTTTTTTTCCAACATTAGAACTGCATTCGTTTCAAGACCGACGTCGTGCCAAACACGATCAAATACAACATCTAATACACTGGAGCCTGGTTGATCATCTTTACTTCCAGCAGACCACTCATATCTTATCACTGACTGTGACCCTATCATGAGAAAATCAGTTATAATGGACGCAATTCAATACAATATTAATAAGCATTAATTATGTAGGTGATACTTCAATGTAATTTTGATCTTTGACACTGAATATTGGTTATTTGGTTTGCTATGCCATTATGTTACTTGGGTGAATTAGCGAGTATTTTTTTTTTCATTTCTACCTCCAGATAATGTCCTCCATTTTGCTGCCAATGAGCATTTCGATGGAGTATAATCTTTGTCTTCAAAAATTGATCCATCTAATTTTCGGTATTCCGTGACGTCAACTATCTCAACTTGCTGGTACGATTCATCACCTAGGCAACAAATTACACAGTAATTAGTTAATCGATCATGATTGTAAACAGACTAAGTGGCAGAAACTAAATTATGAAAGTGAAACCGTACCTGTGACGTCAATACATCCTGTTGTTTCGTGACAGAGCTGGTTCTGTGGTGCACATGTACAGTCCCCTTGACACGACTGGGCTGAACAACGCCGCAACAATGACAATATTCCACTGTTAGTATTGGATGATACAACCTCAAAGGTGTCATGAGCTTCGTAACTACGTAGTCCAACCTATCATATAGAGCGCACAATGTTAGTGTCTAGCCATAGAATACCAAGAATTATTCGAATCATAATTGATATTTTCAAAGACGTTCATACCCCATTCACTGCCCATATTGACACGTAGATATGTTCTCCTGGTGTTATGTCTCTGTTAACATCTATCATGGCTGTTTGTATAACGCCCTCGTCGTAATGTGTTGTTCCTCCAGCGTAATCAACTCTAATAGGGCCATTCTGTGCAAGATACATGTGCCAAGTAAAACAAGTCATGTTCAACATCACAATATTATTGATAGTGATAAATACATGGTATCAAAATACATTTCGTTTGTATCATGTCTAAGGGACATATTGTGAAATAGTGTCTGTTTCTGAGTTAATGTGTAATATTGTTTCGCAGTCTACATTTATTGTCTTAGTTACACAAAACTTCGTTCTAAGTCAATTGTTCCACAAGTCATGCACCGACGGAAAGTAAGTTCTAAAGTAACCTAGAACCCAATGAGATGTAGAATGGAATAATGCCAAGTGGCACAACACGGGGATCATTTAAGACGAATTACCAAAAAACTCACCAAGGTTAAGTCATTTCCACTGAAGTACGTCCCGACAGTGATAAAATAGTTACTAATGCCAGAGTGGATATCGGCAAAACCCAGCCATGCTATGTTGATTTGTGCTGGGTTACTGGCTTGAGCTAAATTGTAAGTCATCCATCCATCTCTGTGTCTTGCTAAGTCTGCCGCATGTTCCGTATCTACAGCAAACATACCAACTGTGGGTGGCGTTGAATCGACCTATGTGACAATGAAAGTAAAAAAACAAAACAAGTGTAGCCAATCTAGTGTACAAGTTTGTGACACATATGATGCCAGATATTTGTTTCTATGAAGTAATTTATCTGCATTAAGTTTCAATTTAATATCGTTCCCTTTAAGGCCTCATATATGAAATCATGTGCTCATTCCATGTACAGATGGTATAACTTCGATAATATTGTAATAGATCATGCGATTTATATTGTAACTGGACTAGCGGTTTGTGGCGATATCTTAAAGAAAGCCTTGGTTCACCAGGTATCTGATATTTTTAGAAGAATGTTGTGGGCAAGTTTGATTTCAATGTATAATCCTAAACTTACCAGTAAACCTTGGCTGATACTAGATGTGCACAGCTTAGCTCTGTTACATGAAATAACTTTAGCATAATATGTATAGCCATCCTTTAGAGACAAATCTGTGAATGTGTATTCTCGATCACCACCATTGACCTGAAAAAAAAACTCATTAATGTATAATTCAATGGCAAATGTCCTGTGTACAAACAGTGTATTTTGTACATGTTATACATGTCGCTATGAGGTCGGTATTGAAATCCAGCGCTCTTAAACTATATTTTCATGCTAATCAATGTACAGATAATCGAAACAGATAACCGTTTACAATTAATTATATTGGTAAACATGTTATTTGTATATACGATTATAAAAACAAAAGCGTTACACATATCTCGTAGATATAACATTCATGTGATAAGCATTAACTGACCTTTACTGGATCAATATCTAACTCGGACTGTTGATGTGTGAAAATGGAGACACTCTGTGTATCAATATGGCTTTCTTGGTCACTGACATCCCATGTAACTTTTATCAAGGATCGCCATGTCTGATTGAGAAGGAGAAGAATCATATTTTCGGTTAATGTTACCGTGAGTTAGTAGTACAGATTGAGCATTTCACAAAATAGAACGACGCCAATACCTGAGTGTTGTCCATGAACGATCCCTGACTTGCGTCGAAGGCTGCAGGCGTTGTTATATTTGGAGGAGTTTCATCAACTGCAAAACCGTTTGAAGATGCTTCCACAAAGAGTCCTAATCGGATGGTAAAAGCAACGAACGAATTTAGCAAATATAATGAAGCAAAATATATTTGTATTTGTATTTGTATTTTGTATTTATTTATTTACACCAGAAAAAGAAAATATACATAACACAATTAATTTTTCCTTTTTACCACTGCAAAGGATTCTGGTGTGGGTCATGGAAATAGCTCATTTGAGCTAGTCGAGTCCTAGACCCGGAATAAGAAATAATACTGTACTGACGTGCGGATTATCATACATTTATCATATACATATATTTTTATCGTGAAGTGGCGCAGCATTATAGTTCAATTACTAAATATCAAAATTAAATAAATAAGTCATTGGAATTGCTGAGTGAATATGAACATTATTTTGTCGCACAATAAACAAATCACTAAATTTAATAAATCATTTTCTACAAAATAAACTAATCACTAAACTGCAAAATCAAGCAAACAATCAGTCTGTCAATGAAACAAATATCAAAAGGTAATCATATATATGTATATGTGATTTTTATGCTCTATCCTGATATGGTGAATAATCATAATTCAATTGAATAAATAAGTCACTTAATTGCAAAATAAATAAATTAATATTTTTCTAATCGCTAAACAATCAATCACATTGTACAAACTACCAGTCAATTAGTCGGCTTGTCAATCAGTTAATCAGTCAGTCTGTAGTGAGTTGTCAACCAATAGTCGTATAATTAATCTGAATATTCAGATATAAGTTTAGCTTTCAGACAATTTTTATAAAAAATATCTACTAATATTGGCATTTTGTAGTTCTGGTCTTAGTGAATTTCAATGCTTAATTGTTGCAAACTTTATGTTATGC